ATCGATGGCTGCAGCGGGCGTGAGACTCCTCCTGTGAAGGCAACGCAAGGATTTCATTTAGTCTCCAGCTTGGCCAGGGCCATGGTCTATATTTGACTTGTGTTAGGGCTGTCCCGAGGGGCTGCGGCCACTGGGATTTGCCATCGTTCCTCCGTATGGCCCGAGCCTCCTCCCACCAAGTAGGATTCTCTTCTCACCGGCCAAGGAGTCTTGTGCCGGTCAGACTCGGAGGGAGGAGATCCGCGCGCATCCGGCAGCGACCGACCTCTACAAGCTCTCTTCAGTCTCCTCCGTTCACGTTCCACCTGCACGTTGGAGAGGAGAAAGGGTCACAGAAACCTGCCACCAAACAGGGAGCAAAAGGACCTCTGGGTGTCACGGCAAGGACGTGTCTGCTCAGGGACCGCTAATGGCAGCAGAGAACGCTGCGGGCAAAAAGCACTCCAGGTAGGCTATGGAAGAGAAGGAGCAAGAGGAAACCGTTCCTGACACACAAGCGTCAAATGTCTGTGTATGGGAACAGTGGGGCAAGAAGGTGGTACCAGCGGGCAGGTGCATTTGTGGAGGCTGCCAGAAGAGCGAGAAAATACAAAAGTGTGTGCCCACGGGGGGAAGGGGGAGAGGGAAGGAAACGAGCAGAGGGCTCCAGAGGGCTCCCTGTGCAATCGTGTTGTGCTCCGGGGCCCCTGAGGCTTTGCAGAGGCAGTGAAAGCCTGTTTTACCTGCTCAAGAGTCCTCCTCAGCTCAGCGTTGAGTTGCTGCAGCTCCGTCTTCTCACGTCCCAGCCTTGCAACTGCTCGCTGCAGACCTTCCAGCCGCTGCGACAGGAGTCTCTTCTCCGAGCGCCACGATAGCGGCTCCCCTTCTGCAGTAGCCTGCTGGGTGTTCAGAGAGGAGCTTGGGTGAGCGGGTGCCACGTAAAGTTGAGGGGGGGCCAGAAGTAACACGGCGCGGAGAGTGACCGCACTCAGGAACGGGCGGTGCTAAGTCCCTTCTCCTCCTCCCGCTCCACAGGCCCAAACAACCCACGCTCTTC